GTCTTTGGCTTTTCGAAGACAGTTTACTCTCTGGACGCCTACTTTACCCAAAAAATTTTACTATTAATACATATTCTCAATAGTCTTGTCTTGTGTAAATGCAAGGTTAATACAACTGTCCCAGTGACGGACTTACGTGCGTCAAAAGTTCCGTGTTGGCCGACGTTTGTTGGATCCGTCGACGCGAGGGTTGCCAATCTGACGCTCTGTATGCAAACACAGACAGTATTCTCAACTGTCAGTTTCATCATTGAGCGGAACGTGCGCAAAGTACCCATTCTGACGGGGCCATAACTTACGCAACTCAAAACGCTGAGTGTTTTGTACAGGAAATATAATACACAATTTTACTGTGTATGGCTTGAAATCTGAATTCAACTCATGCAGAGGTTTAATAAGTATGTATTATGATAAATATATGAAACTAAATTTTGTACATTTTCTTTAACTCACTTTGGTGAATACTCAATATCTCCTCGCGGGTCTCTTGATAAGTCGAATTCCTGATCGGGTTTTCCACGTGCATCATCAAATGTCATTTTTTGTCGGTTTTTAAAGCTATTAACATAAAAAATATCATAATTATTAGAAAAACAATTAAGAACCCTGTCAGCAATTGGAAGAGAATTTGAATACTGTGCATACTGTGTGTAATAGGGAATTTACATGATTCAACTTTCACAGGCAATTAGTTGAACCAAAAGTTGAACGAAAGTAGGCAGCCGACCAACTTCATTGAAAGCGATTAGTTGAAAGGCCGTTTACACCAGGCAATTGTTGCTTTCAACTAAAAATCGCCTGAAAAATCGCCTCATGTAAATTCCCTATTAGTCTGCACGATGTTCGTCTCTATTGGAAGTTAAGAAGGGGATAGTAAGTCATTTTATAAAAAAAAAAACATTGTTATCGCTTTTCTATCTGCTTAACAGGTTCGCACCCGATTTTCACTCTTGAAAGTTTAGAAAACCAAACTACAAATACAGGCGAATTCGCTGTTTGCTTGGCATTTTTCATTATTGTGCAAGAAATCACATTCGAATAACAAATAATAATATTAGTTGGATTCATGAAACGTCGCAAAGTTGCGACATTACCATTTCATTTGAGCTGGCAATCATTGCAAAGTCAAAGTCGCGAAATACCTGTTTTTTTTTGTTATCTTCCAATATTTTAAGTAAAAGTATATAAATTGAGGCGGCTTCGGAATAAAATTTT